TCTACTGCCAATTTTTCAGCGTAATCATCAGTCATAAAACATAACCTAGCATTATTTCATCTCTAGACTTAACCGCCTCCAGCTCATCACGCTAGGTTGCGACAATATCAAAAGCGCTTGGCTTTCACTGGGCAACTCTTCGATATTAGCGTAAATGAGTAAAAATTACAGTATAAGCCAAAACAAACAGTACTGAACTGAAATGGTTCAGTTTCAGTACTGTTTATTTCGGCCAATACTGTATATGGGTTTTTTTGTAAGTTGTATTAGCAAAACTTAAGTTTTGCGGTGTGTGTATAAACATAATATTGTTAACTATGCAGAAAATCTCTAGCAAATTTAAGTGTCACGGTCGTTGCACCTAGTTTCAGAATATCTTTAGCTTTAAAAAATTAGAATATTGATAAGCTGAGTAGTTAATGTAATAATCAAAGCTCGCCGGTTCGATCCTAAAAAGTCAGTAGCTTTTTTATAGTTCGAAACTACAACAAGCTGTTCCTGAACACTGGAATTTTAAAATGATCTTGGCTAATGAAACAGCTGATCTTAGACAGTAAAGCTACAAAGATCGTCTAACAACAATCTACACTCATATCCAGGTTCAAATAAGCACCTAGGTGGCGTCCCCACCTAAAAGATTGATAATTAATTGATTGTAATCGGGGTACTCATGATTCTGACTAATGAAACCGCTGATCTTAGTCAGTAACAAAGCTACACAGCCTCATTTCACGCCCTTCTATACTCATCCTTTACTTAATATTCGGGCTAAAGTACACACCTAGGGAGCGTCCTCATCTCAATTGATGATGATAGCAAAAATAGTAAACACGTGTTATAAAATATCAAACTTTGGCATTGTAGGGGTATGCACTATAGTTTAGGATTTTTACCATTCTGTTGCATTCGTGTCAACATAATGTGAGCTTTTGGAAAAGTTATAAATCGCAATACCGCACGTTGTGGCACAAGCATAAAACCCACCCTCCCCCTCCCCCTCCCCCTCCCCCTCCCCCAATCACGCGATGTTTAATTACCAAAAATTGCCTCCCTTGCCCAGGTCCATTCAGCCGCTCACGCTGTTGAACCGAGAAACTCGAAATGAAGCAGAAAAAGGAGCTCGGTTCTGGTGGGGGTTTTAATTTGTTTAGAGCATTGAGAGCTGTGCCTGCCCCATCCCCGACTCGCTCGCGGGGCTTAACGAATAAAGCGGGCCAGCTCTCGGGGACCTGCACTTTATGTAAATTTCAAAGAATTTCACTGAATAATGTGTGATTGCGTTTTTGTCGGTGGCTTAATCGCATTTGTGAGGTTAACGGGTCAGAAGTCGTCTGTGTTTAGTTTGATTTTGTAAGGGAGGGGGGAGGTGATTGTAAACAATTTAGAATTACTACTTAAAAAATAAGTATCTATTGTGTTAAAGCTTTGCTTTAACCGTTGATGTATTGAGGTAAAAATAAGAATTTTTGAAACCATTGGGTAATTTGTACAGCTTTTTATAACTAGTGAGAGTCAAAAGTGTTCAATACTCATAGAATGTATGATAAGAGTCGTATTACATATATATGTAAATGTCGTTAACTGTAACAAATTACTTTAAAAACGGTCATGTTTTAATTTTTAATAAAAGAACATTTTCAATTCTGATTTTGAGCGATTCGCAGTTCATTTCTCCTTCAATTTTTGTTTACATAAAAAATGTTAAACTACAATATGACCCTAAAATTAATTTTACTTATTTCAGCGTCAGTCACGACACAACACCGATGCATACGCTACGCTACACCCTCACTACGCCCACACTAGATAACGCGCACATGCGATACGCACCCACACGTCGAGCCATACGCTCACACATACGCTCACATTAGTCACTCAACTATGTCTATACTATGTGTGATGGGATCTGTCTCACAGCCCTCCATTTACTTGGGTGATGCATTGGTTTAAAGCCCGGGCAAGACTCAGGTAGACCTGGAGGGCCAGGAGACAGGATACATCATACATACTATAAAATATCGTCCAAAACCACCGATTGGCAAAGTTGTGTGTGCCGCATTGAGATGAGGTGTACAACCTCCGCTCATTTGGTATTGTTACAGATAAACTACACCAATTTGAAGAATACGTGCAAGTAATCCATTCACAGAAACATGATTTCACCACCTGAAAGTAAACCATCAAAACTAATGTTAACCTATTAATAATTACTTGTTTCCTAGTATCTTGCAAATATCAAGATTCCAGATTTATTCCAGAAGGAGTACAGATTCATATTTGAAAGGAAAGGACACTTTTACGAAACAACCAGTTTTACGACGTCAGAAGGTCAACTGGCGAAATCTCCAGACTCATCTAAACCCTTATAACTATTTCCCCGATCATAACCCGGTATCGAACCGTCGCCCCCGAGACACATTCGAGATTTCCATCTGGCCGTAAATAATAAAAGCGCTGTCATAGACACACATAAAGAGGCCGCGCAGATCACCGGTATAAAAGAACGGTATCATCATTAAATCCACCATTATATTAATCTCGCCATAAAAGCGGAATAACGTAGCGCCGTACGATAGGTAACAAAGGCATAAGGCTCTCCGACGTAAAGCCGGGTATAAAGCGTCCTTAACGTTCCTGCCTCAACCCCAACACCCTGCCCGCCCACCCAGGGATGGTATTTACATTTTAAAATAGTTTGCAAGCAGGTCCGTTCCGCCGTTCGCAAGGGTTTCGAAATATGCCGCTACCCCTTCCCCCAGTCGTACGTATTAACGCACTCTGTTTACCAGTGGCGCTTTTACATAAATCAATGCCCGCTACACGTTGAGTGTCGGGTTGTTTTGTGGCGAGCTTCTATTAGCTGTATCGGAAACCACTCGTGTGGATTCAGCACGAATTTAGTTTAATTTACGAAATGAGAAGTTGTTGAAAACCCTGTTGTACAATCCTTGGGTTTGTATTAGGGGAGTGTGGTGAAGTAGACATATATATCATAATATTAAGTGGAACTTATTTAACTGCAACATTTTTAGTACCTGATACATATTCAGTTCATATTTTACATTGTCGCTTTACACTGTCTCCTTACACCAAGCCCAGGTCATCAAATGCCAACACAACGTGTAAACATTACAAGCACCAAAGTACCCGACAAACCGAACCGTGTTTGAAATCGAATCAGGTGAACAGCACAAACACCTCATTAGACATTGTCGGCGAATCAGGGGCGCAAAGCCCTCGGAAGCGCATATTTTGGACCATTAGTGACTGAAACGTTTAAGCCGAAACCATTTCGAGTGGAAATCATTTCAGGATTTGCAGAGATTTGGCGTCCACTGACGTCACCGTGGATTAATTTGTGGACCGCTAATTAAATACGGTTTAGGTTCCATTTATTATTGATCCCTCTTTTATTATCTGTGTTCGTGTTTCGTTTTACTGTGGTAATGAGGTGTGGCCTTTGTTTGTCTCATTGTGGATATTCTATGGGGGTGAATTGAGTGGGAGTAGAGTATGGCTGAGGGCGTAGCTTAGAGAAGTGACATACGTTGAATGGACACGAATAACAAATTTAACAATTTAAATTATGGACTTAGGAATGAATAATACAAGTACAGGTGTAACCGAGTGACTACCTTTGATTTTCGGGCGTTTACTAAATGACTGATCATCGTAAGCCAAATCATTCATATACTCATCTTCATCTTTAAAAACGCACCCTGAAATGTCTACAAAATGCCTTAAAATGTAGTTACTCTCATTGTAGTTTTTACCGTCGAATTTCAGCTGTATCTTAGCTCATCCCATTAATTAATCAATTAGGGACTTATCATCCAAGGATATAACCCGTAACCCCTACAAAGTGAACGTTTTCCTCTACAGTAGAGGCCCGTAGTGCGCGGGTGTGAGTACCGCGTGGGTTCAGTAGCCCCCCCCCCCCAGCCCCCCTGTCTAACATTTAACGCAATTTGAGGGGTCGAAGGGTCTCATTGAGGCACTCTAATTTTCCACCTTCTTTCGCCTCGCCGCCTCCAACTCGCCGCCTGAGGCAGAGTCCTCCAACTTTACGCTTTGATTTGCTAACTTCTCTCACGGTAGGTGATAATTACAGAAAGATTTTAGTTTATTTGCTACGAAAACTTGAATGGTATTTTATGTTCAAATAGGTATCAATCAAATTGTTTTGTGCGAGTCAGTCGCTCAGTCGGTAGTGTCACGGACTTCGGGCCCAAGGCAGTGATGTCGTGGGTTTGGATCCTGTTCATTGCCGCAAACATTTTATCAGTACAGTTCACCTTCGTACTGTACTGGTTCACCCCTTGCTTTGCTGGATACGTTCCACGCACGGACAGTCAGTCTATGTGGACCGGTAAATGCAAGGTGAAAAAGGCCACCAACCTGCAATATTTTCAATTGGAGAAGTTTCATAAAGTTGACTATGGACCAATCGTCTACCAAACGCGTTTAAGAAAAAAAATCAATTTATCTACCAAGTGATCGTTTCATGTTACTTACATGTCTTATCCATTGATCTCTTATAGAGATCGATGGTCTTAACCAAGTGACCTAAGTGTTTATACCAAAACATTACTCTCCAATCAAGTGATAGAGCCATATTAGATCCTCTTAACCAAATGACTAACTAAGTGATAAAACCATAACAAGACTTTCTTCAAGTCATCTACCAATTGATGGTACCATAATAACCTCTTAACCAAGTGATTATCTAAATATGTATACCATACTAAGACTTTATAATCAAGTGATAAACGAAGTGTATCATATTTTGTGTTTTTAATCCAGCACCTAACTATGACCTCCAAAACAACTAAATCACCAAACCATCAACCGAATGTATACCTAATTTCCTCCTGACCATACCCAAATACAAAACGACATTGCAAACGTTGGAACACCTCGGTAAGGTAAGACACGACGGTCCTTAGTTGTAGCTGTAGTGGTGTAGTTTGTTCCTTAGTAACAAGATGGTTTTGTTGCAGGAAATAAGGTCGACCCCTGAGCCGGATGTTGTGGACGACCATTATCAAGGTGGGTACTGATTACGATTAGTTGTGGCCATTTCCCCCCGGGGAAAATCTAATAATGACATTTTTAATTCCTCTCCCTATATGGAAGGCTATTATAAGTCGATGGGAAAAACTATGTACCGTCAGTTGGCTATTACCGTTTTATACACGTGTTTTTGTACCTGAAAAACTTACTCTTATCCAAAAGTTTGGTCATAGAATTAACACCATGGTGTTGCTTTATTCTATGGTTTGATGTTACACGTTTTTAAGTTATTCCTATAGGCCTTCTCATGGCTATGATCAAATCATCTTTTGGCATTCGTTCTAAAAAATGTTTCTTGTCTACGATTTTCCAGTACATTTCTTGGAGCAATACTTGTTTAGTAAATAGCTTCAACTGAAAACAATTTTTTGTGTTATATACAACTTTCAACATTCGTTTGTGATGTATTTTTATCTTTATCAACACTTCAACCCACAACTAAGAAAATCATTTCTCTTAACTCCCGTAGTTTAAACTCATACAGGGGTTATATTATCTGTGCTCATACCCACAGAGGGGTATAAACTGGGAGTTCAGCCGAGAACTACAGTGGATGCAGGAAAGAGGATTGTTTTAATGGGTCGTAAACACTCTACTGGAACCGAGAGTAAATTCTTGCAACATCCTTAAGTCAGTAAACGCTGATGCAGAGTTTGCTTAAATTAAGAAAATTACCATTGAACTGTGTTCAATAAATCATCATGTATGCAACCATTAATTAAAAACGAATAATAATTTTCGTGTCTATTCACGTTGAAAATCCTAATAATTAAATTTGGAATCACCCTCGAAATAAAAAAATGTCTTTTAAAAGTTTTTTTGGTGAAAAATATAAGTATTATCTTAACTTTTCAGGCAAATTGTTTACATTCAGTGTCTGCGATTTTTCTCGATAACTTAACGATCATTACAGTTTTGGTTTTACAGTAGAGCCTTGATAACAAGTCTATCATGGGGATGGTCAAATATGACTTCTTATCAAGGTTTATTTCTTACAGAGGTGTGCAATAACATTTGATTAACTTATATATAAAAGGTATTTGAAATTGACACTGTTGTTATCAAGGGCCGCTTGTTATTAGAGTATTCTCATCGAGGTTCCACTATTTCGTGCTAAAACGTCCTTAGCTTCAATAATTGCAATATTACTCTCCATTTACTGTTCTCAAATTTATCTCAAACCGAAGTTAAAAATAAGATTGACTGCATAACAAATATATATCTTGCCAATAGTCCGAAAAAATGTTCAATCCGTAGCAACATCTAGATAAGTTGCTACGGTATTCTATTTCTACAGCCTTCACTGGTTGAGGGTAAATGGGAACCCAGGGATAAGGTTGGTTGCTTAGGGTTTGTGGGGAAGTGAGAGGAAGTGAGGGGAAGGTCAGGAAGAAAGGTGATATATTGCTCTCTTGTGTGTGTGTTTGTGTGTTAGTGCTGAGGTGTTTTGTTCAAAATGCGATGGAATAAAATGAAACGTCATATGGGTTTAACTTAAAATATAAATGTGAATTGTAAACATAAATCTCATAGTCCAGTAGTATTAAAGAGGTGTTGGTATTGAGAGTTTCGCTAATTATTGTCATGAGTCTCATGGTCCTATCAAGATTGGGATCATAATTGATCTTGTGAACATCATTGTATTTAGCCACAGGAGCACATCAGTATCTAGCATAGGACGACTCAGAACACAGCAATACAATATTATAGTATGCAAAACCTCCGCTGCGCATGAAGATCCAGCAAGATAATCTAAATACACTTTTAAAGTTTCACACTTTAGTTGCAGGTGTTTGTATACTCGTTTTTGGGTAATAGATCTTAGTTAACGCGAAATGTGGTTTGGAAATTTGGTTTTTATCAAAATAAAAAAGATTTCAAGTATGGATTTCCCAGTATATTATTTAAGTGGAAGCACAAAACAGTGTTTCTCGATCTATTTAGTTACATCGTTTTAATTTTATTCTATTTATGTGAAAATTTCTTTGGTGGTTTTCGGTGATTATGTGTATCGATCTGGTGTATTTATTTATGTTGGCATGTCAAAGTGCAAATTAAAGTGTATGCAATCGGTAATATAAAACAAAATTAACCGAAGCTAGAGTTTTAAGTTCGATAATGGGTGTTTGACGGTAAACCCAACTGTACAAATAAATGAAAATGGGCTAAATATCATTCCAAAGAGTCTTAGCATGGAAGAACTTAACAAGCATCCATGGAAACTCTGCGAAATCCCCCAAATTCTACCATTGTTTCTAAATCCTTATTGGTATTTCCCCTATTCCCCTGCACCCCTATATTGGACCTTGTCCGGCCCGACTCTATTATCAATCTCCACCCCGAATGTGAGTCACCCCCGTCAATACCGAGGACCCTTATCACCCCCCCCCCCTTTGTAACCCGACCCTTCAAAAATCACAACCCCGGACCCCACCCCCAGGGCTGCCAATGTCAAAACTGTTGTCTGTCTGGCGGGTATCGCCCAGTCAGCTGTGAATGACAAACATCGTTACTGATAACGAGCGAGTTTTGGGATATAATTGGCATTTTACAACACTTCGGGATTGGGTCATTATGGGACGGGTAGTCTCATCGTAATGGTAAAATACTTGCAACAGTGGTTGAATAGGAAAGTAAAAACTCATGCTACGTTTTGTGGACGTGCTCCTTAATATGGACGTGTCTGGCTATTCTGGGTATATTTCATAATTTTTAAATCTTATTACAATTTAAAAGCTTGAATCAATAATTTTTGACTGGGTACTATCAGAACTAATTATTTTAACGAAACGTTCAGCTGGTAAAGATTTTAAAATGGTGGGTGGAACGATTACAAAAGACAAATACCCCCGCCGCAGCAAACCTGCCGACTAAGCAAATTTCCATTTGTCTGAATTGATTTTCAGTTAAATATATTTTAATAACATTAGGTTTAACGAGTACCTAGGTTTGCTGCTACAAGGAAACTAATAAAGTGTGTTTTTGAGTAAAATATTGATAGCTTAGTACAAAATAAATAAATTTGCCAAGTTTGATCAAAATATATTCATAAACAAGCAAACTACAACATTTGACAATATTCTCCATAAGAATAACATGGGAATTTTAAACTTACAATTTTTTTAATTTTATCCGTTACTAATAATCGAACAAAAATACTTTTATATACTAAATTATTTGTTTTTTTAAGCTCTTTAAAAAGGTCTAAAGACAAATTGGGAAATTTTGTGTTTTGAGGGTCAAAAGTGAGAAAAACCAATTTTTACCCCATAAAACCCCCCATAAAGCCCCGTTCCCATGGTCCGATCGTGCTGGTTCGCGAACTCATTCAAGTTTATCCCGCTTTACACCTTTAAACCAAATTTCATCAAAATCGGACAAAAATTACTCAAGTTATCGCGTTCACGGACGTATATATATATATATATAAGTCTATATATATGTATATATATATACATATATAAAAATTTGAACGAATAGTGTTTTTGGCCTCTGGGGACATCAAAATGAAAAAGTAAATCGGTCCCGGGTCTAGGTCTTACCGTGCCACCTACGGTAATAGCTACTTCCCTATAGGGAAATTCGCTAAAAGTACAAATTTTAATGCCACGCTTGATTTTAAAAAAATATTTGATACTAGCTGTGTGCCCGTTCTACGTACGGGGATCTTATAGTAGTCAGTTGAAACCTTCTTATATTAACATTAAGAACAGCAATTAGTTTGCATATTTGCAGATATGCTGGCAAAACTATTATATATAAACCTTCGCAAATACAGTATCTGACAGTTCAAGCCAAAATAAATGCTTCGCAATTAAATGTCACCCGGATCGTGTTGGTCCATATGTCCAATGATTAAACTTAAAAATGTTTTATAGATCCATTAAGCGTAGCCCTAAAGTAGGCCTATAATTGAAAGTTACTTTCCACATCGGTTAACTTAAACGTATTTAAAGTACTACCTCAACCTCACCATTTAACACTTTATTCCGGTTGACATTTTCAGTATCAAAGGTGCTCTTGTCCATTCCGTGAAACACTGAGAAATAAGGACATTAATGCGTTACCAACATACAACAAAACAACACAATACAACAATCCAACAAAGGCCACGAACTAATTGATACATAAACAATATAAAGGCGTAAACAATTCATGATGGTTTGCCCAACATATGTTTTACTCAAATAGGTTATCATTTTCTTAGCATACCGGGTAAGCTAAGATTTGGAATCCAGGCAGAAAAAGCAAAACTTATACAGAGTTAAGACATCACTTAAATTGAATACGGACGGCTCTAATAAATAAGGTGCAACACCAACGATATCTAACTTGTAAACTACCGGTTCTAAGGAAAAGAACCAGTACCTACGTAAGAACCTACCTAAGAATTTCAGTAAATCGGACCAATTAAATACATTAATATCTAGTCCCGAGGTTATTGATCTCTTGCTTTTGGATTTTCTCGTAAAAAGTTATAGCGTAAACTTATCGGTGTCAGTTTGAAAAAGAAGCAACCTTACCCAAACAACTTTTTGTTATTTAATAGATTACGCATTCTCTAAACAATGATTAGTATATCTATTAACATTAGAAGGAAATGTGACGAAAATCACACAATGTTGGGGGTTTGGTCATTTGTAATTTTATTTTTTAAGTAGGTAGGCCATGTATTCTATGGAAAAGTACCGGTATCAAGGATCGTCGTCAAAAAGGTTGTTATGAATAAATATGTAGGCTTACGTACCCAAGATATGATCTATGGGCCTATTGGCTGTATGGTCCAGCGATTGCATCACACGGTGAGTAGAAACAGAAAGTGACACATTGGAAAAGCGAGTTTAGCACTTCCTCTGTTAAACCTCTGTTACAATCACCCACTGCAGTTGTGATTTTTTACTTTACACTTTACACAATCGCCATTGAAGCGCCGTCAATGAGTGGAAACCTTTTTTGTAAGCTATTGGCGACGATCA